CCAAAGTTATAGTTCTGTCTTATACTGTATGTGATACTTCAGTTTAAGAATAAAACACATTTCTTTGAGTTTATATTTTTATAAATAAGTTAGTCAAACAGCAAAGGAAGCAGCCTAAGCAGAGAGACCCAGACTTCCCTCTCCCCAGCCACTTGGGCCAGCTCCTCCGGGGGAATCTCAAGGTGCTCCCAGGCCAGCAGAGAAACATAGTCCCTCCAGTGTGTCCTGGGTCTTCCTATGGGCCTCCTCCCAGTGGGACGTGCCCAGAACACCTCACCAGGRAGGCGTCCAGGAGGCATCCTAACCAGATGAACCACCTCAAMTGGCTCCTCTCGACATGGAGGAGCAGCGGCTCTACTCTGAGTCCCTCCTGGATGACTGAGCTTCTCACCCCATCTCTAAAGGAGAGCCCAGACACCMTGCAGAGGAAACYCATTTCAGCCTCTTGTATCCGCGATCTCGTTCTATCAGTCACTACCCAAAGCTCGTGACCATAGATGAGGGTTGGAATGCAGACCGACCGGAGCTTCACCTTCTGGCTCAGCTCTCGCCCGCATCACTGCAGACGCAGCACCAGTCCACCTGTCGATCTCCCGCTCCGTTCTTCCCTCATTCGTGAACAAGACCCCGAGATACTTAAACTCTTTCACTTGGGGCAGGACCTCCTCCCCGACCAGGAGACGGCATGCTGCCATTTTCTGGCTCAAGACCAATGGTCTCGGATTTGGAGGCACTGATCCTCATTCCGGCCGCTCCGCACTCGGTTGTGAACCGCTCCAGTGAGAGCTGCAGATCACGATCTGATGAAGCCAATAGGACCACATCATCCGCAAAAAGCAGAGATGCTAAGGTCACCATAAAGGATCCCCTCAACACCCTGGCTGCGCCTAGAAATTCTGTCCATAAAAGTAATGAACAGAATCGGTGACAAAGGGCAGCCTTGGCAGAGTCCAACTCTCACTGGAAACGAGTCCAACTTAAGACAGGCAATGTGGACCAAGTTCTGGCACCGGTGGTACAGGGACCTAATAGCCCGTATCAATGGGCCTGGTACCCCATACTATTTTGTTTATTATTTAAATATTGTTAAAAGTTGTTTATCTCTTTTTGATACTCTTAGTTTGAATTTTAGCTGCTAAAGATGCTACACACATGGTTCCTGATACGTCAAGCACAGCTTGTAAGAGGGGATATTTTTTATTTAATTTTGGAAAAGCTATAAAAAAGGAAGTTAAACACTTCAGAATGTTTTTTAGTGGACTTGAAATTAGTGGAACTTAAGTTAGTGGAAGCTAATCGGTCCACTAATGGTTTCCAAAGTTAGCAAAAACGCTAATTTGCTAAATGAGGAGCTGGTTCCGCAATTAGTGGATTAGCAAAACTATGTGGTGTGTGTTAACAGACAGCACAAGATTTRKTGCCWAGAAGCATACAACAAAGTAATAATCTCAAATACAAATGTCTTTATTTTGTTGTGTTAAGTACATATACTGCCTAGCCTGGCCCTTGCCTTCCTACGCAGCTCCGCTCAATTCTAGTTTCCCTTCACTGCTTCGTCTGGGATTTCTCCCGGGCCAATTAGAGAATAGAACGTCGATTTTCTGCGCAGTGTCTGCTTGTAGTTTATTTTACCTGGGCCAATCAGCAAACAGAAGGCGGAGTTTTGAACGACGTCAATTTTCTGCGCAGTGTCTGCTTGTAGTTTATTTTACCTGGGCCAATCAGCAAACAGAAGGTGGAGTTTTGAACGGCGTCAATTTTCTGCGCAGTGTCTGCTAATTATGCAGTGGAGGAAGTGAATGAAGCCAGTCTGTGTTGATAAGGCTTCCAAATTAAAWTAAATTTGTCTGACAAAGCAGCAGCTCTCATTTACAGTCGTCTCGGTCAGCTCGGTACTTCTCTCCTCTCAGTGGGTTTTTTACAGCGTACACAATTTCTGGTTAGTTCTTAGCTTAGCCTCCTTCCCAACAACATACGTTGCGGCCAACCGATCCAATCATTTTAAACTTCAGCAGAGGCCACGCCTCCAGCAAGAATYGCTTCTCTATAGCTGAGAGTCCAGACCCTCATATGAAGCAAAGTGAAGGACAAGGGTCTGGTTTTTACCAGGCTATATACTGCCTTGTCTTTTTTAACAACAACCCTACTGACAGTATTTCTTGTTCAACTGTGCTTCAAACATTACATTGTCAAAACATTTCCATAAATTTTAGTCAGACTGTCTCCTGAAGTTTTCACCTATCTTAATCACAACTTTTTCCCTTTAGACATTATTTTAGACTAAACTTTAAGAYCCAATGGCTGTTTGGGCTGCTCGTGTATCTGAGTGCACACATACTGAAAGTGCTGCGCAAAATCTGCGTAATGACTGTAAACAGATATGAGGGTAATATTTCACAAACTCATTCTGTCAAACAACGAGACATTAACACGTACAATATTTGCAGGGAAAACAAGACAGTGTAAGAATTATGAGCAACATCTTTGTTTTAGAGACAGGAGGGAGGGTGGGGGGCACAAGAACAAATAAAACCGTCCCTGATAAGTCATTACTCATATACATGCAGTATGCACACATAGGCACAGTCCAAACGACAGTGATGGAATTGGTCTGAATGAAAAATTGAGTCAGGTGGCTAGAAGTCGAAACACAAATGGTTGATTCTTGAGGCAAACGTTGTTATAAAGTAAACCCATTGTGTTTTGTGTCATTCATCATTCATTACCATCTACTGCCACAAAAGACAGGCAATCCTGTAATGCAAAGTCTATAATCATTATCACCATTAATTTAACACAAAAGTGCACCACATTCACAGTCTGCTGTAAACACTTTATTAAATTCAGCTAAGRGTTTGGACAGAAAGTGAAAAAGTGCAAAATTTCAACTTGTTTTTCTGACCAGCTGTGCAAMTCACCAGCCGGGTTGATGATGAATACCGTTTTGTTCCTGAGAGACAATCATACRAGTGAGGCAGTCGCTGCTAATAATYATGGTATTAATAAGTGACAATCATAGGCTGATCCAAAAAGATTACTTYATCAGTCAAAGTTTTTGTAGGTCGTTAGTTTTTTTTTAAGATTATCGCAACAAGTTTAACTGTTTTCTTGGTTTGACTCCAGAGAAGGTTCAGATTCCCAGACCTAATCTGTACTTTGAAGAGACAAATTAAAGACTAGAGGTTTTGCTTGATTAACTCTATCATACTTAGAGAACATAAATAAAGAAATAAATGACAGGAACACATGTAAAAGAAGTTAAGAATGAAGCAACATCTCCTTGCGTTACACTTCCCTTAATCTTACAATCAATTAGGATGAATTTTATGACTTTAGCAATGTTTTTTTTAACATTATTTAGCATTTTTCTTGTTTTATGTTAGATTTTAGTTGATCAAGAGTTGCAGTCATGGTTGAATGGTTCTTCATYACGTGGCTTACATTTTCAGTAGGACACAGGTCTGGACTGCAGAAGGACAAAGTCAGGAACATGAACTCCAAGCTGCTCTCCATGAAGCCACTGCTGTGCCATGATAATACTAACGACAAGGCTTTACCTTCTGAATACTGATGCAAGTGTTACAGCTCACAAGCTGCACGCTCCACCGCTGGGACAGAAACAAAGGCTCAGGTAGGAGAAGAGGATGTGGACCTTTTAGGGGTATAATTGGCGATCAAACACACACTCTGTATTTCCACACTGTGACAATTTGTGTGTGTTAAATGCTGCCCATTCTCTCCCCTCTGAGAGATAATACTAGTCATTAACGCAGCTCTTTACACACCACCAGGCGCTAATGCTGGAATGGATCTTCTGCATTTTACTGTAGATAAACAACAACACATGTACCTTAAGGGCTTTGGTTTTTATTGCCAGAGATTTGAACAAAGCAGGCCACACATTAGTACTTCCTAAATTGTAGTAAGGTGAAAAATGCCCAAATGGATCTGAAAACACACTCAGCTTTGTGAATTTAAGATAAATGTAAGCATGCAGAGCTATGTACTGTATACCTCTTATCTCACTCAGATTAGTTAGATTAACCGTCTCCGCTCCACATTTCAGCATCCACTGCACAGTAACAAACTACTGCATTTATTCAATACGATCTCAGATATAATACAACCCCCCCCCCCCCTCTTTTGGCTTAAAAAGCATAAAAAATGTATTCTTCAARCTACCTCTAATTTCACTTCAGGATTTTTCAACCTTTGCAGTCTTTGTCAGTAAAATGATCATTTGACTATTAATTTTATTTTAACAACATATGTACTAAATTTGACAACAAATGTATATCAGCAAACTATGATTTTGAGCTTTGTAGCAGCATCATATGAACACCGGCATTTTGCACACAGTCCACCAGGGGGCGCCAATACAAAACTCAGAGACGTCACATGAGATTTGGGGCATCTTCTGGTGGAAAAACAGACCATTGTACTTCGGGAATGCCTACTTGCGAGTGCCCCCTCTGGTGGAGAAACCTTTTTTGGGCAATCCAACTGCTGCTGAACACCGGTGAATGGCAGCCATTACAGACAAATGTGTTTGTTGTTATTCCAAGAGCGGCCTGGTCGCACACTAATGTCGTTAGTTTGTTATCATCACTAAACAACAGCTCTGTTTTTTTTACACATCATGTCAGCCTGCCTGGGTTTGTTACTACCTCGCTCGGCTCGGAGTGTCAGAGGTAAGTTCGCTTCAACTCCTTTCTATGACCCGGTCACATTTCCGGACTCAGGCATATTGTGAATTTTGTGAAAATTCAGTACATTAACAAAAAATCGACCTGAGTATAGTACTACCCCTGACTTTGTGCATGATTTTTTGGATTAAATTTTTCGTATTATACTTGCATAAATACGGTAGTCTCCAACAGTCACAGCTCACTGAGAAACTGGTTTTAGTTTTTCTTAATATACAACTACTGCTGCTCACTCTAATTATACTAGTATTCTTTTATGGATGATGAAGAAGTGGACAAAATAATTTCTGTACAACCTAAACTAAAATGCTTCAACAAGAAACATAAATCTTCTTGGCTTTAAAAATAATTTTCCACATTAAAAAAAAGACAAGGAAAGGTCTACATCTTCCCAGCAGACCTGTTCTGAACATTGAAACATTTTCTTAAGAAGGTGAAGGTAGACTTTAAAAGTATAGAAGTTTCAAGAAAAAACAACCCAAAAAGAAAGCAACTGAAAACTTCCACCACTCTTTTACTGAGGGTGTAATGTTGTWCGGCAACGCTGTGTGGTATGATGGCTGCACCGGAGCAGACAGGAGGCGGCTTTAGAGGATCATTAAAACACTACAGAGAATCAGTGACAGCTCTCGTTGCTTGCTGAAGGCCTTTAACAACTTCATTTGCCTCAGCAGGGAACAAAACATCCAGAAGAACACATCCCACCCTCGTGCTCMGATGTTTGACCTGTTACCCTCTGGCAGATGTTACACTCCATTAAAACTACAACAAACAGACTAAGAGTCAGTTTCTTACCCAGAGCCATAACATTACTGAACTCCAAACTGCATTGATCCCACAACTTCGCAGCATYGTCACAGCAGTGCTGCCAAACTCCATGAAATGTAAAGCTGTAATACCACACTTGTAYGACACCTTACACTCTGTGATGTGCACAGTTTTCTATAAAGAAMTTCTTAAAATAATGTCTTTACTTTAGTCAAACAAATGTACTACACTAAGTTCTAAAAATATTTATTTATCCAAAATTGTAGCTTTTTATGCATTTTTACTTTGTTTAACAAATCGATTATTTCARATGCCCTGGTTAAACTTAGTTACATTTGAAATAGGGATGCCAAAAATGAATCGACTTACAATAAATTGTCAAATAATGGTTTATTCCATTCGATTAATTGAAAACATCCATTTGAGCATTATTTCAGTGTAGTTTGGCTGCCATCCAGTAGAGGGCACCACTGCTCTCAGCCTGGCCTTACTCTACCTTACTCTCTCTGTTGAGCTGAGCAGAGGGCAGCCTCGATGTGGGTGGCAAACATGCAAATCTTGCTTAGTTTTATTTGCAACACCACAAAATTAATGGACTACACCAAACTCAAAGGAAAAGTATCGAAAGCTGCACTGGACTCTCCAGCAGTATGATGCTTAAGACAAGAGAGGAAGGACGATAGAGAATGGTAAGCTAACTGTGGCTAATGTTAGCTTCTTCTTGTAGAGTTTAATTCCGTGTGAATGAAACAAACAAAAAGTTACAGTCGCAACAAATAATTTTTGTGAAGTTAATCTTATCTGTGTGACGTAACCCGGTTGTAAACCAATCAAATGAACAGTAACAATATTATGTTTATAGTTTGTTTTTGAGTAAATCTTTAGCTTAAAATGCTACCCTGCCATTTAAATGTTAGTTTTGTAGTTCTCTGTGCTTTTTCCTGTTTTTTTTTTCCCAACTAGATACCTTATAGATTAATGTTTTGTT